GCAGCATTCTAGAAATCGGCCTTGGTGGTCTCCTCTTGGCCGTGCATATTTTTAAAACGCGCTGCTGGGGCGGGTACCAGTACAATAGAACCACAAGAGACTTCTCATTTTAAGCAGAACGTGCGATCACTCCCGTGTCTCCGGGGGGCTAAACGAACTTGCTGGCGAATTATGTCTCCCCCATCACCTCTGCTTCCTCTAGATGCAGTCGGAAAAAAAGTACAAAAAACGAGGGGAAAATATTCTCCTACCCGCTCCTTTTCTGCGGTTGCCGGTTTAAATAGCAAACCCACTGATGTTGCCATGAATTGGCAATCACTGGCCTTTTCTCAGGGACTCCATCTATGCCCCCTTTATTTTTCCTCAAAGTCTGCCAAGAGTAGCACCCTTGGCTTTTCTTCTCTCAGAAAAACAGTAAATTCCTTTTTACACTTCAGGAACTGGGGGCAACACTCTCACTTGCCGATCACGCACGGGGCCCCGACACTTCATATTCGTATGCTACAAAATTTACACAGTCACCCTTTTCACCTTTTAAGCCTTTACAATCTTATTTGGTCACAAGATTTTTCCCACAGCTTGGAAATCCCCTTTGTTTTCCCTTTCCGAAAACCAGGCACTACGAGACAAAACCTCCCACTATCGTCCCATTGCTCTTACCATGCTTTTTGCAAATGATAAAACCCTAGTAAATAAAATTTTAGTGTGGTATTTAGAGACACACAACATCTCCCCACCCGTCAATAGGGCTTTCGTAAGGACGTTCACCTGACCCCTTACTCCCTTTTGGATACTATGTTCGTAATCCTTTGGAATAACCACTCAGTTTTTGCCTTTTTTTTTTGCCCTTTGAGAAGGCATATGACACAACTTGGGGGTAAATTTTTTAGCCAAAGCCACCCCTTTGGGCCTTTGAGGCAGTCTACCACCTTCCCTTTTAAGAATTTTTTAACTGACAGGCTTTTTCCGTGTTGGGGTTAATAATGTCTCCCCTGGACTTTATCCAAGCCAAAGGTCCCCCCGGGGATGTTTTCTGAGCACAAAAATTTTTCTCCTTCTTTTAATGTTTTGGGCCTCTACCCTTCCATCAAATATTTGGTCATCATCTAGTTGATGACTTCGTATTGCCTGTGCGGGCCTGACGTCCCCCTCATTTTTTTTTTTCTCTCCAGCTGCAGTAAACCCGGGGTTTTCCAATTTGGGGCCACCACACGGGGTTTAAATTTCCCCCAGCACAAAAACCCCCCAAAAAAATTTCACTAACGCTCTTCATCTCCATCATCCTTTTACCCAAAAGGCCCCCGTATCCCAACGGTAGCAATTTTCGGGGCTCCTCTTTGATCGAGGTTTTTTTCCCGGAACCCACATTACCTCTCTGAAGGCAACTTTTCACAACCCGGGTGAACCTTCTTAAAACCCTTGCTCACTTTTTGGGGGGCTGACGCGAACCCTCCTTCGCCTACATTTCCCCCTTTTTTTATCGAAACTTGATATGGGGACCAGACATTTAGCGGGATCTCCTCTCTCTCCTACCTTAACCCCCTTCATCACCAATTACGTTTATGCCTTGGTCTTTTCGCTCTTCCCTGTCAGAGCCTCTATGCAGAAACAAAAGTTCCATCCTTATCCAATCGCCGTGTGCCCATTTGCCTTTCCCACTATTATGCTCTCGATCTCCTCAATCCTTCCTTTATAGAATTCACTGATATTAGAGAATTCTTATTTTTTCGCCGCCCCTGTTTTACTCCGCCCTTCTCTCTTTCCCCCCATTCGCTCTTTCTTCTCTTCAATTTCCCCCCTTTTTATGTTTTATGTAGCATCTCATTTTTCCCCCCCCTGGGGGAAATTCCAGCTGTTCGAGTCTGTTCTTTTTTCCTCCCCCTTCCGAAAGCCCAACGTCTAAGGTCGCTTCCCCTCATTTTTTTTACCACTTTCATTCTCATTCCATGCCATTGCTGTGTACACAGATGGCTCAAATCTTTTGACGGGGAGATTCGACAGTGTTTCCCGGGCAGCGTCGACGAGGGGATTACTATCTTCGGCTAGTATTTTTACTGCTGAAATTTTAGCCATCCTTTCGCACTTATCCGTATTCATCTATCCCGTTCATCATTTTGTTTCTCAGACTCCCTTAGTGCTTACAGGCTATACAGAAATTTGTACACCCCACCCCTTAGTCCCCGTATCCAACTTTGGCTACGCCCCATCTTTTTACCAAGTAAGTGGACCCCCGCATAACATTCCCCCGAATGTGACCATTATGTAATGATTTTTTTTAAGGCTTTGTACGTGTATTTGGGGGTCTAAAGGACTAATCACTTCCAATATTCTTTTGGAACAAATTCGGTGGTACTGGGACCTGAACAACTTCTGGAGTGAAAAAATATCGTTTAACCGGGGGGCCACTGTATAAAATATTGTTTTTTTGGGCCCTGGTCATTTGACGTACAGGGCAATGAACGGGGGAAAAACGCTGCGCGGTCACAGTACATGACCACCAGTTTCAAAAGAGGTGTTTTCCCTTTACGGACTATTTTTGCTGCAATATCTTCCCATTTTCACACCCGTTGGCAACACCGTTGGTCCCCACTATGCTCGCAACAAAATTCAATCTATTAAACCAAGTATAGGTTTACTGACCGTCTTCTTATCGCCAGGCGAGGGTTTGGGGGACTACTCTCTCCCATCTTTGCATTGGCCATACCGCTTACTCATGGAACTCAGGAGAGGCGCCCCTCCTCTCGTAAAGCCACGCCATTACAGTCAGCCCCAACTTTTTACTGCCCACTTTTTCAACGAGCACGCAAATTTACTCCGTCGTCGTCTTTTGCTCCTTGCTCCTTTTTACCTTCCCTTCTCGCATGGACCCACCCTTTTTACCGGGCTCTCTCATTTGGGTTTTTGCAACAATGACTGACTTCACAAATTTTGATAACCCTTTAGCCCTTTCTATTCAATCCTTGCTACCCTCACCCCCCTACTATCCCCTGCCCCGTGTTTTCTAACCTACTGATCATCCCTCCCTTCTGCCATCCAATACCCTCGCTTCCTTCCCTACCCTGCAGCGCTGTATAGCCCTTGTGGCTTAGCACTTCTTTTTGATTATAATAATGGCTTAATTTGCAAACTCGGGTCAACCCCTCGGAAGTAATGCAAATAAGCAAATAAAACACTAAGATACAAAGACTGACCAGTAAGCAGGAAGCAAACAGACTGATGGACGCTTGCTCGGGGTAGCTGGCTGCTAGGCTAGCATGCGGTCAACACAATGTCCGTCGTCGGCTGACAAGTTATCTCCATACATCTGCGTAAATATAAAATTTACACGCTCACCGCTGGCACCATTTGTTGGGGGGGTTTGTGGAGATGTGATGGTTGGATTAAACACACTTGTTGGATGGTAACACATAATTAGCAGAGTGTGAGAGGGGAGCCCAGACTGCCTGTGTTGCCTGTTCATAGACCTAAGCGCGGAGTGAGGACGAGGCCGGGAGCGCAGCGCTCACATGCAGCATCACGTGACATCACACAAGCTAGTCACTGAACCTAGCAAGGGGTCAACTATGTAAAACATATGGATGGTACTAACTATGATAGATAACATATACATATACAGGGAATCAACAACTGTGCTGACAAATGGGTAGTTTCTTGTACTCATTCGATAGAAAAGATGGAGTTCTAGCGAAATAGGTATGATTTTTGTCTACTGGTACATTGGAATTGGCCGAAAGTAGGGCTCAAATTGGGCGAAATCGCCGATGCGTAAACATCGTCGAGACCGCTAACTTCACGAGAGCATAATTCCATAAGTTTTCCATCAAATTTCATATTTTGGTGTAATTTTGATTGGGAAAAGATTCTCTATCATTTCACAAGAAAAAATAATTTTTTTCTAAAAAATTTCCGACCCTGAGAACAAGTTTAAGACAGGGCCTGCCGACCCTGAAAGGGTTAATACCCCTATGGGCTGGTTCCACACCAGGCCTCCTGGTGGATCAAGACCGCATACAGAGGTAATTCTGAGCAAATTGTCTAGCCAGTTAATTCGGTGATGAATGTAGAAGGTTGTTCATAAGGGGATTCAAGAGAAGTCTCTTTTAGGGAGCTGTCATGGCAACAAACTGTGGAAGTGGTCTTTAATATGAGGTTGAATAATAGGAGAATGTCATGTTGAATAATCAATAATGTTAGTGTCCTCTGATTCTTCCTCATAACTACAATATTTTGTTTTTGGCAATGCATCCTGAACAGGCTTTTCCCTGCTGATACAACTGCAGTGCAATGAATATGGCTGCCATCATCCAGTCTGGAGGAATCTGTAGCTCTTACAAATTCTTAAAATATTACTGTAGTATTCTTAATGGGTTATTACTGAAAGGAGGTCCATGTTTTGGCTGATGGCTTCAAAATGGTGCACCACTTAAGAGCTTGAGTGGCAGACAGCACAGACCTCAGTAGTGCAGTGGTGAGAGGAGGGGCAGCTCCAGAAGTTTCATTTAGGAGAAGCTGACGGGTGGCAATCTGGTTGGAAGAGGGAGTTTGTTATAGAAGTACAGTACTCTTAACAGGTTGCTCTTCCTTTTAAGTGGCTCTTAGAACCTGAATACAGAAAAGTAGGCTTCTGTCAGTGGCTAGTACTTTTGCATTTAAAAACCTAGTTTACACATCTTTCAACAAACCGGCCATATCCTCCCCGAGGCAGGGCAGCCCAAAAAGAAAAACAAAAGTTCCTTTTTTTAAATTTAGTAATATATACAGGAGAAGGGGGTTACTAGCCCCTTGCTCCCGGCATTTTAGTTGCCTCTTAGGACATGCATGGCTTACAGAGGAAGAATTCACATGTTTTCTATAAATTACATAATCCCTTTACAAATACATCTCATAAGATTCAGTGAAAAGGATTGTACACATAATGTCTGAAGTCACCTGAATTGTATAGTGTTATGAAAGCATGTCTTAGTATTCTTCACGAAGTAATTGTTGAATTGTGTTTCTAGCTTCATGTTACAACTGCTCGAAGATGGGGCACATAGCTCGTGATTGTCCTGAACCTGAGCGTACTTGCTATGTGTGCAACAAGAGTGGTCACATTTCTCGTCAGTGCACAGAGAACAAGAGCGAGAACCGAAATGCCAAGGTAAGTGTACTGCACTCTCTCAAACAATAATATATTTTCTCTTAAAGAGGGTATTCTTTGATTGAAAATAATTAAAGATCTAGCTTTCTTAACATTTCCTAGTCACATTAAAACAATTGGATCAGCTTAAGATATTTGCCAGTTGGCAAATAGTAACAAAATACAAATAAATAAATTAATTAATTGGAGGGATATGTTGTGTATCTTTATACGTATATGCTTCTAAACTGATGTGTTCTGGGCACCTCTGCAAAAACAGTGATTATGTGTGAGTGAGGTGAAAGTGTTGAATGATGATGAAAGTATTTTCTTTTTGGGGATTTTCTTTCTTTTTTGGGTCACACTGCCTCGGTTGGAGACGACCGACTTGTTAAAAAAAAAAATGTACATCTTTCTTTCTTTCAACACACCGGCCGCATCCCACCGAGGCGGGGTGGCCCAAAAGAAAAAAACAAAGTTTCTCCTTTAAAATTTAGTAATATATACAGGAGAAGGGGTTACTAGCCCCTTGCTCCCGGCATTTCAGTCGCCTCTTACAACATGCATGGCCTACGGAGGAAGAATTCTGTTCCACTTCCCCATGGAGACAAGAGGAAATAAACAAGAACAAGAACTAGAAAGAAAATAGAAGAAAACCCAGAGGGGTATGTATATATACGCTTGTACATGTATGTGTAGTGTGACCTGAGTGTAAGTAGAAGTAGCAAGACGTACCTGAAATTTTGCATGTTCATGAGACAGAAAAAAGGACACCAGCAATCCTACCATCATGTAAAACAATTACAGGCTTTCGTTTTACTCACTTGGCAGGACGGTAGTACCTCCCTGGGCGGTTGCTGTCTACCAACCTACTACCTAGGAAAAAAAAAAATGTACATATATACATATACATACATATACATGATGAGGGGATCAAATGATTTAGATAAAGAAAAATTGGATATTAAATTGGGGAGGAGGAGTATGGAAGAAGTGAATGTTTTAAGATACTGTACTTGGGAGTTGACGTGTCGGCGTATGGATTTATGAAGGATGAGGTTAATCATAGAATTGATGAGGGAAAAAAGGTGAATGGTGCATTGAGGTATATGTGGAGTCAAAAAACATTATCTATGGAGGCAAAGAAGGGAATGTATGAAAGTATAGTAGTACCAACACTCTTATATGGGTGTGAAGCTTGGGTTGTAAATGCAGCAGCGAGGAGGCTGTTGGAGGCAGTGGAGATGTCCTGTCTAAGGGCAATGTGTGGTGTAAATATTATGCAGAAAATTTGGAGTGTGGAAATTAGGAGAAGGTGTGGAGTTAATAAAAGTATTAATCAGAGGGCTGAAGAGGGGTTGTTGAGGTGGTTTGGTCATTTAACCCTTAAACGGTCCAAACAGATCGACATTCAAATCCGTAGTGCTCCAAGCGTAGATCTACGTTTTTTTTTACATATTTTCGAACATAACAAAAAACAAATGTAGATAAAAGTTTTTTTTACACATTTTCAAATGAAAAAAAATCTACATTTTTTACATACTTTCAAATGTTGAAAAAACGTATATACAGTGGACCCCCGGTTAACGAACTTTTTTCATTCCAGTAGCATGTTCAGGTGCCAGTACTGACCGAATTTTTTCCCATAAGGAATATTGTGAAGTAGATTAGTCCATTTCAGACCCCCAAACATACACGTACAAACGCACTTACATAAATACACTTACATAATTGGTCGCATTTGGAGGTGATCGTTAAGCGGGGGTCCACTGTATACGTTTGGACCATTTAAGGGTTAAAGAGAATGGATCAAAGTATAAATCTGTAGGGGAAGGAAGGCGGGGTAGGGGTCGTCCTCGAAAAGGTTGGAAGGAAGTGGTAAGGGAGGTTTTGTGGGCGAGGGGCTTGGAATTCCAGCAGGCGTGCATGAGCGTGTTCGATGGGAGTGAATGGAGACGAATGGTATTTGGGACCTGACGATCTGTTGGAGTGTGAGCAGGGTAATATTTAGTGAAGGGACTCTGGGAAATCGGTTATTTTTGTATAGCCGGACTTGAGTCCTGGAAATGGGAAGTACAATGCCTGCACTCTAAAGGAGGGATTCGGGATTTTAGCAGTTTGGAAGGATATGTTGTGTATCTTTATAAGTATATGCTTCTAAACTGTTGTGTTCTGAGCACGTCTGCAAAAACAGTGATTATGTGTGAGTGAGGTGAAAGTGTTGAATGATGATGAAAGTATTTTCTTTCTGGGGATTTTCTTTTTGGGTCACCCTGCCTCGGTGGGAGACGGCTGACTTTTAAAAAAAAAAAATACATATACGTCCATACACGCATATACAAGGAGGTTTTAGAGTGGGTATTGTATGCGTAGATCAAGTGTTTACATTGAAGCATATATGTGAACAGTATTTAGATAAAGGTAGGGAAGTTTTTATTGCATTTATGGATTTAGAAAAGGCATATGATAGTGGATAGGGGAGCAGTGTGGCAGATGTTGCAAGTGTATGGAATAGGCGGTAAGTTACTAAATGCTGTAAAGAGTTTTTATGAGGATAGTGAGGCTCAGGTTAGGGTGTGTGGAAGAGATGGAGACTACTTCCTGGTAAAAGTAGGTCTTAGACAGGGATGTGTAATGTCATCATGGCTGTTTAATATATTTATAGATGGGGTTGTAAAAGAAGTAAATGCTAGAATGTTCGGGAGAGGGGGGGGATTAAATTATGGGGAATCATATACAAAAGGGGAATTTGACACTTTGGTTTTCTGATTACTGTGCTTTGGGGAATTTAAAAAAAAAGGGGAAAAGGTTTGGGGGGGGGATTTTTTGGGGGGGTGTAAAGGTAAAAAGTTAAAAGTAAACAAGAAAAGAGAAGGGTGAAAAAGGGTATCAAATGTTTAGATAAAAAAAAAAGGGATATCAAATTGGGGGGGGGAGTAGGAAAAAGTGAATATTTTCAGATTTTTGGGAGTTGAAGTGTCGGCGGATGGATTTTTGAAGGATGAGGTAATCATAAATTGATGGGGAAAAAAGGAGGTGGTGCATTGGGGTAAGGTAGACAAAAACGTTATCATGGAGGCAAAGAAGGAACGGAAAGTATCGTAGTACCAACACTCTTTCTGGTGTGAAGTTTGGGGTTGTAAATGCTGCAGCGAGGAGGGGGTTAGGGGGCAGTGGAGATGTCCTCTTAAAGGGGAAATGTGTGGTGTAAATTTATCAGGAAATTCGGAGTGTGAAAATTGGGAAAGGCATGAATTTAAAAAAAGAAGTCAGAGGGCGAAGTGGGGGTTGTTGGGGGTTTTTTGGTCATTAGAGAGAAGGGATCAAAGCAAATGACATGGAGAGCATATAAACTGTAGGGGAAAGGGAAGACGGGAGGGGTTGTCCCGAAAGGGTTGGGAAAGGGAAAGGGGAAAAAAGGTTTTGTGGGGGGAGGGGCTGGACTTCCCGCAAGCGTGGGGTGGCCTGTTCGATAGGGGTGAATGGAGATAATGGTATTTGGGACCTGACGACGTTGGTTAAGCAGGGTAATATTTAGTGAAGGGATTCAGGGGAAAACCCCTTATTTTTTTATAGATGGACTTGAGTCCTGGAAATGGGAAGTACAAGCCTGCACCTAAAGGGGGGTTGGGGGATATGTCATTTTGGAGGGATAGTTTTTAGTTTATGTGTGTAGCTTCAAGCGTTGACGGGGCAACTCTGCAAAAACATGATTATGTGTGAGTGATTTTAAAGTTTTTGAATGATGAAAGTATTTTTTTTTGGGGGGTTTTTCTTTATTTTTGGTCACTCTGCCTCGGTGGGGACGGGCCGACTTTTTAAAAATGGTGGTGTATGCATTTTAACAAGTTTGCCGTCTCCCCACGAGGCGGGGTGACCCAAAAAGAAAAAAAAATCCCCAAAAAAAAAACTATTTTAATCATCTTTCAACATTCCATTTCCCCACACTAACACTGTTTTGCAGAGATCCCCAGAAACAAAGGTTTAGAAAATTTCGTAAAAGATACAAAAAATATCCCTCCAAACTGCCAATCCCAAAACCCCCCTTTAAAGTGCAGGCATTGTACTTCCCATTTCCAGGACTCAGTCCAGCTTTTAAAAAAAACTAACGGTTTCCCTGAATCCCTTCATAAATATTCCCCTGCTACACTCCAACAGTCGTGGGGGCCCCAAATACCATTCTTCCATTCACCCATCTAACACATCACACACGCTTGCGGAAGCCCCAAACCCTTGCCCAAAAAACTTCTTTTTCCCCCCCTCCCCCCCAAACCCTTTTTCGAGGACAACCCTTACCCCCCTTTCCTTCCCCTACGATTTCTATGCTCCCTTCATTCACTTTGACCCCTTCTCTAAATGCCCAAAACCCACCTAAACAACCCCTTTTCACCCCTCTGACAATACTTTTTTAACCCCTCCCCTTTTTAAATTTCCACACTCTGAATTTTCTGGCCAGAAGTTAACTAACATTGCCTTTAGACAGGACATCTCCACTGCCTTAAACAGTCTCCTCGCGCACTTTTACAACCCAAGTTTCACATCCATTTTAAAGGTTTTTGGTCCTTTAACTTTCATACTTTCCCTTTTTTGCCCCAAATAACTTTTTTTTGTCCCCAAATATACCTCAACCCCACACTCATTTTTTTCCTTCGCATTTTCATGATTAATCTCCCCCTTCATAAATCCACTGCCGACATGCAACTCCCAAATATCTAAAAAACGTTATTCTTCCATACTCCTCCTCCCCTATTTGATTCCAATTTTTTTTTATCTAAATCATTTGATCCCCTCATCACCTTTTCTCTTTTCTATGTTCACTACAATTTTCTCCCTTTACACACACTCCCAAATCGCCACAAACCCTTTGCAAATTTCTTTTTAGAATCTCCCATAAGCACAGTATCATCAGAAAAAACCAACGTTCAATTCCCATTTTGTATTTGTTTCCCAAAATTTAATCCCACCCCCCCCCAAAAACCCTGCATTTACTTTTTTTTACAACCCC